CTGCTGCTCTGAAAACAACAACATGAGCAGCAAATAAACGGTTTGTAGTCGGTTTGATTTATCAATTATCAACCAGCAAACAAAGGGCGACTGTGGCTCAGGTGGTAGAGCGGGTTGTCCTCCAATCCTCCAGTCGCAAGGTTGGTGGTTCAATCCCCACAGTCGAAGTGTCCTTGGTCAAGACACTGAACCAGAAGTTGCTCCCAATGGCAGGCAGCAACTTGCATGGCAGCTCTATCGCCATTGATGTATGAATGAGAAACACATTGGAGAGTGCTTTGGATAAAAGTGCTATATAAGTGCAGACCATAAAAAACTACAGGGTATAGATAGATAGATAGATAGATAGATAGATAGATAGATAAAACCATCTGTAAAAAAAAAATTTGAAAATGTGGCAATTAATTAATGGTGGTACATTTTTAAGCTGATTACTTACAAAAACTGAGTTGACACTGAAAAAGATGTGTTTTTAGTGTGATGTGCGTAACTGTCATGAATACTGTTTTAGTTAACTGGGAAAATGAAGCTCCTCTGATGTTAACTGGTCAGAGGAGAGAAAAATGTTAATCATCAGGTCCATTTTATTAAGTTACTTGAATTCATGTTTGGATCAACTCATACAGATGCTTGATATTGAATTAACACAGTAATAAGTTGATGCAGTTATAACCTCTTTGCATGTATTTGCCTTCGTTTGCAGTGAGTCTGGGTCATTTTGTGTCACATTTTGGTTATTTTGCACGTCTACAGAGCCTTCATATGTAATAATGGGGTTATTTTGCCACTCTATCATTGTTTTAGGTCTTATTTTTGTCATTTTGCACTCTTTATGGTTAACTCTTGTTTCATTTTGGTCATTTTGTGTCCTGTTTTCACTGCTTTGTGTCTATTTATAGTTGTTTGCATTTAGTTGAGTCCATCTGGTGTCACGTTTGGATCATTTTGCTTGTCTGTGTAGCCGTTCTACCTCTTTAATACGCCACTTTTGCACATTATTTTGGTTGCTTTGCGTCCCTTTCTTAGCTATATGTTATCATTCTGGGGGGTTTATTAATCTATCCATGGGATGATAACAAGAAGCGCTGCAGAGCTGAAACAGCTCAACACGTATTGTAACACCAGAGCAGACATTTCAACCCTCCTGTCATGTTTCGCTGCAGCTACCTGCCGTTTGTTACTCGTTTCTGTGGTAACAAAATGCAAATTGATGGAACAAACACAAACCGAGAGCTTTGGAGTAAAAAATGATAACGCTTCACTTTCTTTTATTTTTTGTTGTTGGCTGCAGAACGACGCAGCGACACAACAAACATATCTGATGATCTGAGCTACGTTCTGCTCGCCGTGACAACGAGGCCTGCAGCTGAATCGAACCCGCCGGTCTGAGCTCCGGACATCTGGCCTCGCAGACTCTCACAGCTTTCCTTCATTATGCAACACTAATCTGATGGCTGCTGCCTTCAATAGCCGCCTTTGTGTTGCTGAGTTAACCGTGGAGGTCCCTGCAGAACCTCCTGCAGAACCGGCGCTGCTGCTGCTGCTTTAAATGAAGGGAATAGATGGAAGACAGGAAGCAGAGAGGAATGAATAAACACCTGAATAGACTTTAACTGGATGATCAAATCTACCTGGAAGCTCAGGTGGTTTAGGATCTGCTAGAAATCAACTCTAGACGGTATAAATATGATATAAAGAGTCTGAATTCAACACTTTGTGAATCTCTGTTTCAGGTTTTGGTCCTTAAAAATAGCGATGGTTCATCAGATACGAGCAAAAATAACCAATATTTTGAGTTTTCTGTTGTTGTTTTAACCAGAAGCAACACAAGACGATGTTTAGTTCAAGAAATGAACTTTGTCAATATGGACGGAACAGAAAAACTGAGACAAAAATGAAAAAATAGAATAAAGTTTATGATTGTGGTGCTTGATCTCTGCTTTTCTCCCGTTTATGTTTGAAAGTTATGATTAATTTGGTGACACCAGGAGGTAAAGAGTCATGTGTTCTCGTGTGACGTTGATTATTGTTGTTAACATCGAGTTAAGCTGCAATAAAAAGTGTTGTGTGATAATATAAAATGGTCAAAGTCTAACATGACAGGAACATTTAAAGTTTTCAGAATCAGCTTTAATGGCCAAAACATACAGGGAATTTGGTATCGGCTGTTGATGTTGCCCTAATGAGCAATGGGAAAATCAAAAATAAAAGATAAAGTAAAATAACTACAGAAGAAAGAATACAATAAAAATAAAATAAAATAAATAAAACAAAAAATAAAGTAAAATAACTATAGAAAGAAAACAATAAAAAACAAAATAAAACAAATTAACTATAGAAAGAAAAAATAAAAATAAATTAAAAAATAAAGTAAAATAACTATAGAAGAAAGAAAACTATAAAAATAAAATCAAATGAATAAAATATAAAGTAAAGTAAAATAACTACAAAAAGAGAACAATAAAAAATAAAAAATACAATAAAATAACTATCGAAAGAAAAAAATTAAATTAAATTATAAAAAGTGAAATAACTATAGAAAGAAAAACTAAAATAAAATAAAACAAAAAATAACAAAAAATAAAGTAAAATAACTATAGAAAGAAAAAATAAAATAAACAATAATAATGAAAATAAAATAAGATAAATATATACAAGAATTCAAAATAAACTCCTAAAAAAGTTTTAAAGTTACATATTTAGAGGTTTTTGTTTGTTTGTTTGTTTGTTTGTTTGTTTGTTTGTTTGTTTGCTTTCTCATGAAATTGATCCCTTGACTGCTTTTTACCAGAACAAGCATTTGTGTCATCGTGTGGTTTTTGTAAATTGGCCAAAACATTCACACGTAAAATCAAAGAAAATCTAAGATAGCATATATTTAAACTGGAATGTGCAAAATGTTGTAGATGTCTGTAAAATGTGTTTTCCTTTTGGTAAAGATTTTGTTATAACAACATGAAAATACAGTAAATCACGGCTGAACACAGCTGCTGGGAGTTTAGAACAGGAAAAGTTGTATAAAAACCAGTAAAATACAAGAATGAAGGATGTAAAATTGACACTATTCAATTAAAAAAAGCTTTATTTGAACGGCAGCAACGACGGTACAATAGTGACAGCAGCCACGTGGTAGTTAAAATATAATGAATATAATTAAATGTTAAAATTAAAAGTGGAACATGCTGAGATAGGAATAAAATATAAAAGTATGTTGACAGCAAATAACATACAAGAGGTGCTGAAATGATTATAAGTGACAATACAGTTAAATAAGGAACATGATTACAGTATTAATATAATTCTGCAGATATTTTATTATTTGTTATATTTATACATCTGGACTGATCTCTTCTCAGTGAGTTCCTGGTCTTGTAGATGCAGCAGGTGTTTAATAAAACAGCTGGAAACAAACATCAAACTCTTCTTTCAGAGCTTTTTCTTTCTTTACTGTTGAATTAAAGAAATCCTGAAGCTGAGGACGGACTCGGCTCTGATCCTGATTCGGCTCAGATCTCCCTCTAGTGGCTCCACACGAGAAGCCTCAAGTTGAGTCGGACCGGTTCAGCCTCTCTGGCTCATTCTGCAGCTCTGAGTCGACGGCTGAGGCTTTAGTTCAGGTTTTTATTCATCAGGTCAGTGGGGCGCCACGTTTATTTATAACTTCTGCTGATTTATTTGCAAAATCTCAAATACTTTAACTTGTGCACGTCTGTGTGAAGCAGCTGGACACAAAAACAACGTACACGTCTGCAATCTGCTGCAATAAATGACAAATATTTGATTATTTACACCACTTAAATACATCATACAAAGAGTTCCAGCTCAGTTATGTTTCATTAGTTTAGATTATTGAAGTTCTCGAACCAGTTTGTGACCAAAACTGCAGCTATAAAAAGAACTTTCATCCCAGTTATTTATTTAAATATAATCTTGAAGCGCTTGTACTTCTCTATAAATGCATTTTTATACTAATTTAAATGTCTGTTTGACATTTAGGGCTAAAAGAGTCACGTTATTGACGAAAAAATATGTTGTTATTATCACAGAAATGTACTTAAAGTATTAAAAGTAAAAGTGCTGTGACTGTTTTAATATTAAATAATATATAATTTGCTGATTATTCCTCATTATTTACTGTAAAAGCATCATTTTACTGCTGCAGTTGGTAGAGACGGGTGTAATAATGATGATTTTCATGAAGGATTAATCTGCTGAATGTTGTTTTTTTAGTTAATCCACTTAGTGTTCGGTTTGTAATATGACATAAAATAATTATAAGTGACAACACGAGTGCTCTAAATCATTATTTTTGTTTTATTTTATACATTTCTCCTAGCTTTTGGTTGAAAAAATCTTTCTCAGATAGATTTCATGAAGTAAAAATCACATTATTTAGTTATTCATTCGTACAAATCTGTTAAACTTGTAATTTACTTTACTGTCCAGCATTTACTATCTAATCACGTGCTGTCATATATTAATATTCTGCATGAAGAAGTACTTTTATTCTTGCTTGCAGTAGTTCTGTACTTTCACTGAAGTAGATTTGTGAATATTTAACATCGTAGTTCTGATAACTTTCCTTTAAATAAATGTTTACATGTATGTTAAGTTCTAATTAGCAAATTATCTTGTATATTATCATAACAATAATAATAATAATAATAATATATTGTGTTTGCTTTGTGCAGCACCTTGACACTTTTTATTAGTGTGTTAAACTTTAACCCATTCCACCTGTCAGACCTTGAAACTGGATTGTACGAGGTTCATTGAAGGCATCACGCTTCATTCCGTAATGCAGGTGGAAAAACCCTACATGTAAAATGATCAGGGTTTAAAAAAAGAACAAAAAGGGGGCAGAAATCTATCTTAAAAAGTACAACAAAGGTGCTGTAATCATGTGAGAGGTCGTGGTTGATCCGCTGCAGGTTTCCTCCTCCTCCAGATTTAATCATTAACTTTCCTCAGAGTTTAATCTGAAGCAGGAAGCTGATCTTTGTCATGTCCTTGTGTCCGCACGACTTTCTTTTCCTGCTGCTTTTCTATTCTCCTCTCCACCTTGCTGACGTGCTACAGGTAAACTCTGCGGGGATTTTGATCGTCTCCGAACCTGCAGAACCGTCCGCACAGAAAGCGAAAGTCAGCGAGCGGACGGACGCACCTGCGCTCGGCCACAGGTAAGAGCTGCTCTCTCTGATCCTCCCTCAACTGCTCTAAAGGTCTGGATAAATGTTAGAATTAAACCGGAATGTGGACGTTTTAGCTGCTCAGATTCTGTGTGTGTGTTCAGTGTTGAGCTGGTTATTTATTTGACCTCAAACAGTGTTATCAGCTGACTGCTGCTCTCTGACGGCTCCAACCAGCTCATCAGGCTTCATGGTGGAATGACACAGTTTAAAATAACACATATATATACGAATGAGTGAAAAAAGGTCACAGAATATGAAGAGATAATGAATGAAAATATTAAGCAATGTCATTGAAGGTCATAAACATAATATATTTTAGAATAATATATTGTAATGTGAAATAATGTCATATAATGTGATCTAACATAGAATGTCATTTCA